ATTCAAGTTTGGTGCAAAAACGCATGATCGCTCCGGCTCGCCTGGTGCGTTCCAGCCTACGTTTTTGAAATATGCCGGTAAATTCGTCCTGGCATATTTCAAAATATCAGTCTCTCTATCGTCTTAATTGTAAGCAACTTCCGGAAGAGGGATGTGTCGGCAGCCCAGCCAATAGGTAGCTGCTGTTGATATTTGCCACCCTCGAATTAATTCCTGAATGCTTTCATCTCTTATGGGGAGTGAATACGAAGGGTTCTATCTTATGACGTCTGAATCACCCTGTAACTGACAGAAAGTAAGGAATTGGTGCTATAGAACAGTACGTTGTAATAACTGCAGGTTCCAAAAAGTCGGGTTGGACGTATAGTTCGCGCTCCTTTCATGAAGTTCCTCTACTATTCGATCTCGTTTGGATGCTTCCTGCTACTGCTTACCGCTGCAACATTCGAGCATTATCGCTATGAGAAGGGCGAAGTGAAAGGTGGTGGAAATAATCGAGCAGCTGACCGCGGTCCGCCACCAACTCTCATCGAGTCTTTGGTTTTTCTGTGGGTCTTCGGTGAGTTCATCTACACATTTGGGGAACACTAGGAAATAAAGCGTTAATAGCCGGATAGCAGGTTGTGGCAGAAAAGTTACTGATTTAATTTTTGGCTCAAATCCCGAAGGCAAACTAACTCTTTGTTAGGAAAGTCGACTTTTTCAGGTAAGACAGGGATCGAAGCCACTTCCAGGCTTATCTAGAAAAAAACTGCTCCGATTTCGCCAGAAGCCGGTTGTTACAGCACTATAGCGTCGGTGGCAATTGAGCTGCGTAACTTGACTCTCGATCATAAATGAATCCTTCCGTTGACAAGAGATTTTTGAACACTTAAAAATTGTTAAAAAATAAGTGATAAGAAGGTGACGCCTTTTCAAAAGTATTCAGAAATTGTAAAATTTTTATAAAAAAGGCATTTTTTTGACAAACGATATCCAGAGAACACATTTTTTCCTTCAGTACGTTTTCTTACGAATTTGTATATACGTAACTTGCAATGCTGTGCAGAATTTTTCTTTTAAGCTTCCCGAATGGCCATTTTATCTTCCATCCAAAAAGTTTGCTTGCATTCAAGATTCATTCTTCATGAATCGTGTAGCACGGGTGTTACTATTGCAGGGATGTTCTGGTCTGAAGTGAAACAAATTTGGGAGGAAGGCTTCAAGAAGTATATTTATCAGTGGTGGAACTGGCTAGATTTCCTGATGATGAGTCTGTACATCTGTATGATAAGCCTCAGGTTAGCATTCTCACGTAAAAAAGTACACATGCCCCTACTTTTCTACACTCCCCAGAATTCTCATCAATACCCCAAAAGTGGCCATTTTGCTCTCCCCGCGCCTTTTTATGCGTTTTGTGCTGTTTGGCGTTTTACGCATATTGTCACGGGATTGTTTATGTGTGTGTGTTTGTGTGTGTGCGTGTGTGTGTGTATATGTGTGTGCATATGTGTGCATATGTGTGTGCATATGTGCGTCCGCAGCAACTTGTCCGCAACTTTCAACTCGGGAACTACAAAAGCTAGGAAGCTGGAAATTTAGAGGAGTGTCCCCTACTAACGTATGACCTCGCAAACTTGAATTCAGACTTCCCGTACTCGCGGGTAATAAGTACGGCCCTGTAAAAGTCTTGGTGGGAAATTATTACCTCGGAAACCACGGAAGCTAGAAAGCTAAAAGTTTATCTGTGTGTCCGCTGCCCACGTGTGACTCAGAAACTTTAAATTCAGCCTTCCCGTGTTCACGGTTAACACGCATGGCCAGTAAAAGTTTTGGCGGGAAAAATTATTATCTTAGGAACCACGGAATCTAAGAAGCTGAAATTTTACGGGTATGTCTTTTGCCCGCGTGTTAACTAGAAAATTTAAATTCAGCCTTCCCGTGCCTGCGGGCAACATATACTGCCCAGCGAAGCTTTTGGCAGATAAACTGTTATCTTGGGAACCATGGAATATAGGAAGCTGAAATCCTGAGAGATTGTTCCTTGCCCACGTGTAACCCCTTAAATTTAAATTCAGAGCAGTGAAAATCATTAGCAGGCAATCGCTCTGTGGATGGAATTGCACAAAACGCGAGATCGCACCGGCTGCCCTGGTGCGCGCCGCTATTTAGTTCTTGAAAAAAAGTTCGTCACTCTGGATTTCAGGATGGTGGCTCATTATATTTTCGAGTTGCAGCAAGGTCACGAACGGTTCGTTGTTCGAACTCATTGGAATTCACTGGAGCCAATGCTTGTTGCTGAGGCGTTATTCGCTGTGGCCAATATATTCAGCTTTTCTCGGATCATTTATCTGTTCCAGATGAACCCATACCTCGGCCCGCTGCAGGTTCACTTATATCCGTTACTTTGCATATTGCTTATCATTGTTCTAGACGCATTTTGTTTGCTATGCTTCATCAAGTAGGCAGAGACATTAGCGAGAAGTATCCATAATAGAGTAAAAAGTTACTCGAGAGAACTCCAGAAAGATAATGCGCGTACGCTGAATATGAGGCGGTACTGACAAAGTACTGACTAGAAGTAGTAATTCAGGATCAAAAGGCCTGGTACAGCTATGTCTGGAATGTAGAAGCATCCCAGCAACATAGCGAACATGGAAAATCCACACGTTTGTGTAGGCGGTATCTTGGTTTGTAGATGCAACAAAAAGATAAGCGGCAAGAAATTAATTATTAAGTTTAGTAGGACTGCTAATTAAGTGAAAATAGTAAAAATTGGGAGGTATATTCTGTAAAATATGCTGTGAATATTATAAAATTATATAATATTTTCTTTTTTTTCTTTCCCCCCCCCCC